GACTTCAAAGATGAAATGTTCTAAACAAATGCTGTTGAACATTGAAATCGTGGAATGACAATGCTAGGCTCGCGCCATTTTCGTCTGATTGCGTGAAGTCAGAATCGACGAAAGAGAAATGTGGAGACAAGCCCAGCGGCAAAGTTATATATATATATATTTTTTCCCAAATCAATAATAATAAAAATGGTCCAGTTTCATAGTAACAGATGGAAAATTACGAGGTTACGGTTTTTTAAGAATAACAAAATCTCTTCAAGTCCGGAAGACATACTCAAAAAGTTTAAGTGCCAATAGATCTGTCGAGCATTTATTTCAAGAGTCTTTCCCAATTTGCCAAAGTGCAAATGACAAAAAATGGTAACTAAGAAGTATTCGTTAAGGATTGTCTTTAGTAAACGAAAAATTATTAATTGCTAAGAAAATATGTCAAACTTTGGAGAAAAGGTTACTTAGGAATGAATTGTCTTGTCACCAGCGCAGGCCAAAAAATAAGAGAAAATTCTGGATTCCCAAGTGGAATCGAACCTCACAGCTTCGCATTCCATCTTCCGGTGCCGTGCCACTGCATTACAAAGCGCGCTATGATGAGCAAAACCATGAAAGGGCATAGCTCACCTTAAGAAAAATGGTCGAGTGAATGCCGCACCACACGTATTAAAGCGCTTAACATATAGGAGAGAAGATGACAACAAAGTGAGACAATTATTTGTCCAGTTCCCGCCAAAGAAATTTTGCAATTGCCTCATTAGGTTTTCGGCCCTCCACCGAGCATCTTGAATCATGCTTAGAATAGCTTTTAAAACTGAGGCTTGCCAAAAGTAAGATTTCTCCGACTTTATACGAATGTGTTAAAAGTGAAAAAGACAGGCATATGGATCATGAGAAACGTTAGTGTTAAACTACCAAAGCTACTAAAGTAAGGAAATTGTGAAGGATTGTTAAATTTGAAACTTGATGAAGAGAGTAGATGTCAAAAACTTGTCAGGAAGGTGGGAAAAAAAATCTGGGTCTCTTTAATAGAATTCAAACCCCATGCTTTCGTCTTTCGAATTAGGATGCTTTATCTGGGCTGTACAGCAAGGCCAAAGACTGCAACGTTTCAATGCGACAAGCGTTCTTCATTATGGATTATGGATTGATTTGATTACATATCACACGATTCAAAATTTCCTTTAGAATTTCCCATTGCTGGTGGCATTGCTGTGGGTGTGTTAGTGGTTTCCTTTCGCTGTCAGAGTTCAGTATAAGCTTACTACCTATGTAGCTTCAGTCCAATAATTGATAACACCATGCATGATAAAATGGCCATTATGACTATAAATGATCAGTAGTCATTATTAAAAGTTTATTTGGTTTTCGTACCCTACCGCAATTCTCACTGATGATCATAACTTTGGAATGCGAATTTGGAATAAAATTGATGATGTCATTTTTGGTGGGAATCGCTGAAAAAGGTACATTGAACATGCAATGATGATAACGATAATAACCACAAAAATTCGCTATCTTATCCCATTCATATCGGGCGGATTGCCCGGACCAAATCTTCTCTACCACTCCAGAAGTTCCGATCTTTCATGACATCCTGCGGATTAAAGATATGCATCTCGACATGCGTGGCGAGTTTTTTGGTGTGGGTCTCCAGCAGTTGCCCAGCATGCTGGTGCTAGTGACTTGGCATCCTGAGAAGAAGGTCGCCCACAAGCTCGCCTGAGCTGGAATATCTCAAGCCGGCTCATCTTTAGTTACTTCCACGTTTTTTTTAGCAAGGCTCACGCCAATCTTCTAGAATTTCCAGCAGTAAGACTAACACATAAGCGTCTTCGTGCACACGTAGAAGAAACGTTGTCAAAATGACTTGAAAAGCTCAGAGTTGTAACGAGTTCCAAAGCAAATGCGTATAATAGTAAAGTATCTAAATTTTCAAGCGCGCTTTGGATCAATTTATGTATGTCTACGAAAAGTGTACAGAAATATATTTTTTGAAAAATGCTGTAGTGTGAAATTTAAGAAGACGACAAAAAAAACAAACTAACAAATAAAACCATTACAATAAAATACGATACAATCCATTCAGATACAACACAACACAAACCCACAACGAAACCACTTTGCCAAAACCGAAGGCAAATCAAAGTGAATGCGGACAAAAATCTTTACGCCCTGGTTAAGAGCGAAAGTGTGTTTTAGGGAAGTGTTTGAAATATGCAAGTCATGGAAGGAATAGCTAAAAATAAGGTGTGGTCGTACTTTGAAGAAGCATGAACGGAACAGATTAAATGAAAAAAGATTAGCCTGCAGAGATTCTCAAGAACCTCGTCTTCCTCTCCAAAAAGGAAAAGCAACGAAACATACAAAAAGAATAAATATAGAACCTTAAGTACAAATTGTTTCATTGTTAATTCGATAACTAGAGCATATGATTCCTTTTCGTCATTCTAACGTAAATAGCTCTTCACTTGAGAAAAAAATGGAAGAAAAGGCAAAATATTTTGAAAAAAGTTTATTTTAGCCAGAATCTGATCAGCGTGTGCCAACAGAAAATGGAATTAAGGCACAATTTTTCCATTATGATTTTGGCGACACATGTTAGCAGTTTCCTGTTTCACATACATAAATAGTGAAGACCTTTCTGCTGGTACTTAAGCATGGAAGATCACGTAGAACCTTCTCAAGGCAGCTAAAGTTAATTTTTCTCGCTTACCCTAATCTTTTAAAATTGTCACGTACTAAAAAAATAATCGTCCAACTATTTCCGAGATAACTCAATTTACTACCTTCGTAAGGTTACTATGAAGCGGATATCACGTTCAAGAAGTTAGCCTAGAGCCATATTTCCTAGTTCTTGTTTAAACACCAGAACCAATAACAAACATAGTTAAGTTTAAAAGACTGTTTATGGTGCGTAGGCAGCTGTATATAGTGTTCCAAGGAAACGAGAGTTTTATGAGTCGACAGAGTAATGGAAAAAACTGAGAATTAAGTCTCATTTGGAACCAGACGAAAGTTTGAAGCGGTCTGTGTATTTAAGAGATTGTTTCTTCTAACTAACCACAGTTTTTTTGAATAAATCTTGATTTTGATCATGATACTTGTAGCTAATTGACGGGGCCATGAAATCGTATCCAAATTTTGCGGTCACATAGATGACATTTTAGGAAATGGAAACCAAATGCCATCAGGGAAAAAAATCCCAAAAATTAACTGATAATCATTAAGAGAAATGATCAGCAAAAAGAGTCCGGTGTACCATGGGATTACTAATCATGGAACAGGATCAAAAACTTCCTTTAACTAATCGGCTTTTACGGGTGAAAACAAAATACAGTAAATTGATGGTGATCTTCAGATGCTTTGTCCTCAATACAAATAGTTTTCCATATTTGGAGAAGAGGAGAGAGAGAGAGCTAAATTTAACCAAAGATAAAAAAGCAAGAATGTGTTCCTCGTGCCTAACCTTACCACAAGTTGTAAAAATACCCGTGCTAATTGTGGTCGACAGGAAATCCCATACTAAGTGCAAATAAATTAGAAGACACCTATCAGTCGTCAAGTACTTATCGCAAATCACCATTGGTATGTTAACATGTAGCTCTATAGACTCAACAGTTTACAGTGAAGGCGATGTCAAGTACATCACAATTAAAGCTTTTCAGAGGATATCACTGGACAACGTTAAAATAACATCTCGAGTTATCTTGATCCGTGTCACTGCCAGTATTACGTTACAACATGTGATTTCACAATGCGTGCTTCCGAGTCGTAGCATGAGTGGGTATAAAAACGGGTGCAGGGCGTGCATAACAACTAGTGCGTTGGCCAGCGATAACAGAGAAGAAGGCAAGAGACGAGCAAACAGCAATCAGAAAACAACGACAGATTCTCTCAAGTGAAGCAAGGTATAACTCTAACTGGTAAGTTTTCATTTTTCCCCTCAATGCACGTGTTTGTCAATATGTAACTCGTTAGCCCCCAATTCTAATCAATTGTGAAACACTGTTGCACAATTAAGATTTCACCTATATTCCGAAGAATTCCCGCACGCTTTCTAAACTTCATGGTTTCAAACGACGTGAGTCAGATCAATATATCACATTTGGTGGAATGACAAGGATTTCTCGTGAGGGTAGCTCGCTTTTCATAGATCTTGGCAGCCACGCTGATGTAACCGACAATACTTTCAGCCTTTCTGGGATCTAACAACTAGCAG